CTGTCCCACGTGTGCCTCCTGAGCCACTGTAATAAAAGCTGACAGGTCTTAATAACAGTCCTCTCTGCTGTTCACACTCAGCAATACTTCATCTAAAGATACTATAAACAGAGAGAGGTTTCTACCACACAGCTTAAGGAAAAATGGTGACTTGTTTCAAATTCCATTTCCAGTTTCAGTTTAATTTGCTTTATTGGAGGGAAAATAATAGTGTATTTGAACTGGTAAAGCATACCGTATCTGTGTAAAAAGAAAATAATGTAAAACAAAGAACATAAAGGTAAATAATAGAAGCCTAAATATATATAGAGTAATTGGGGTAAAATGTAGCAGTAAATAATAAAAATTAAGTTAAGTAGGGTGTTGTGTATGTAGATGTAAGGTGAATATAATGTATCGTTATGTATGCAAATATGTACATATATGTAAGTATGTAGTATGTGTATTTTCTGTATGCATGACAGGTTTATTGTTGTTAACAAACTAAAACTGTTAATTTATCACTTTAATTTAAGTTTAACTTGAATTACTAAAATAACTAAAACTAAATGAACTAATACTAATAAATAACGATTAATAAAAAAACTATATGCCTATAAAAAAAAACTAAAATTACACAAAAATGCACATCAGAGTTAATAAAACTAACTAGAATTAAAATAAAAGACAACACTACTACTACTACTACTACTACTAATAATAAAAAATATAAAAGCATTATTCAAAATATTAACAAAAATTTTAATACTGAATAAATGATACTAAAATAACAGTGATGCACTGAACACCAGACTTGCCTACTATATTTGTGAAAATGCACAGTATACTATACACACACGATGCATTCACTCAACTTGACCTTAAATATCCAGTGTGATTTTTTTTACATTTTTTATATTGTTTCATTTTTCCCAGACCAACCACCATTTTTTCCATTGGAATAATGCCATAGAGCACTTGCTTCAGACAACAAGGTACCTGTAGAATGCTGCTTGTCTTTTTTCCCCATTGACATGCTTGTTTGAATGTGATTGCTTGCTGTGGTAATTTGTAACATGTAAAAGTGTTTAACCAGTAAGATGTTAGCTGGACTGGATATCTGCAATCTCACAGAGAACTGTGAGACGTTTGGTTCTCCGTTTCTAATTATGTTATCTTCCTTGACATGGTTTGATTTATTTATTTATTTATTTTTTGCCCCAAAAATATCTCCCTGATGATGTTTTAAAGCTGTTTGTCTTTTAGTTCATATAGGAGCTCTGATCTGTATTCATAGGACACCATTTGTTCTCTCTCCAGTCGATGTCTAATATGAATGTAGGTGGTCTGCACACCTGAGGCATAAAACCCTCATTAGCAAATCCACATTTGAGTTCCGACTTCATGTTCTCTGTATGTTCGGTCCGCAGAGACGACGCCTGCTAGTGTAGTCCCTCAGCACCTGTGGAGACGTGCTAGTTTGTGTGCGCCGTTACAATGATTCAATCTGTCCCCGTACGGATAATTTAGACAGGTTATCAGTTTAATTAGGACATCCGCTGTCTCCCCGCTGAACTCCTAACAGTTTAGCTTCATTTTGTGTCATGAGATTCAATTCAATAAACCCACTTGGTTTATTGTCTCTCTGTAGTGTGGGCTGTTGTGCCCTACTAATTGTCCACCAGACAGAGGACTCTCAGAGCCATTTAGGGTTGAAAGAGCTTATTTAAGACATTTCAGTTCCTATAATAGGATCAAAATGGAATTAAAGACAATAGGGTGCTATTTAGATAGACTACCCACTGAAAGCTGAAGAGATAGAGACCAAGCTTGAGGACTATTGTGTTGATTAGAGTGTGAGAAGAGCTGTGGTTATCTCTTAAGCCCCGTTCACACCAAGAACGATAACTATAAAGATAATGATATTAGCATCCACACCAGCGAACGATATCGTCTGTTTATTCTAAGCGCACATGCGTCTGCCGCTTTAAATTCTTGAGCTCGTTACAGCAGGATGGATTCTGATTGGCTGTCAGTGTTTTATCTTTCATCAGCTGGAAAAAAATAGTTTTGAAAGTGATCACAACGATATCGTTCCTCTGTATCGTTATCATTATAGTTGTGGTGTGAATTATGCTATTCTTTAATATTGAGAACGATTTTTAGAACTATATCTTTATCGTTATCTTTATAGTTATCGTGCTTGGTGTGAACGGGCCTTTAGATTGTGTGTGTGTGTTATGTGGAGATCATTTCTAGCCATGTTTGAAGCTTGGGTGCTAATTAACCCGAAGTCATAATGGATGACTTCTGATCAATATGCACCGCTAACAGATATAATGTGTCTCTGATTGGCCAGAATAAATTTTAATTGATACGCTGGCCTATTCAGTGACTTTGGCATTATAATATCACACATGATTCCTACCAGAGCTTGTAGGAATGATCCAAAAAGTTTGCTTGTGCTGTGAAGGCATTATACATTTTGTAAGTTGCTGAAAACACTAGTGTTGGTCCCCAACATATGTTGTGTTTTGGATGCTGGTGTTCCTATATAACTTTTTAAATAGCTTATGTAGATTGTTCTAGGTCAACCAACTTAATTGGAAAGACCATGCTGGTTGAGCAACTGGCTGGTGAACAGCTGTGTTGGTCCACTGCTCCAACTAGAACACCATCAACCACTGTAGAGCTTCCTGAAGGTTTGTGCTGGTTTAAGCTGATCTTTTCAACTGGGCAGTCATGTAACCTGTCTTGGTAATTGGGTGCTAGTCATAGGGGCTGTCCCAATACCCATGCTTGCAGCCTTGGCCACTTGAGAGTGAGTGTATGTGACAGGAAGTAACTGCGCGAGGTTGTCCCAAGTTGGAAAAATGCCAAAACTCAGTGACCTTAATGCACAGTAATTCCACACTTTAGAGCAGTATTTGAGGCTAAGCATATCCCATCATTCATCATGTTTGGTAACTTGTATGCGCCAAAATGGTGAAAAATTTCCAGTGTAGGTTAAATTAATTAGATGTGTATGTGACAGGAAGTAACTGCGCGAGGCTGTCCCAAGTTGGAAAAATGCCAAAACTCAGTGACCTTAATGCACAGTAATTCTACACTTTAGAGCAGTATTTGAGGCTAAGCATATCCCATCATTCATCATGTTTGGTAACTTGTATGTGCCAAAATGGTGAAAAATTTCCAGTGTAGGTTAAATTAATTAGATGTTACATATAATGTAATTAGGTAGTAAATTGTCAAATATTGTGCATTTTATTGATGCAGAGATGAGTATGACTATATAGGGACTAAAACATATATAGAAATGTAATAATAGTTTAAATTTAATAATAATAAATAAAAAAAAAAATGTTATTTAAAAATTTTAAATAAAAATAGAAATGTAATTTTAAAGTACAAAGTGTTAAATTAAAATGTGTAAATAAAGCTGTAAATAAAGTGTAAAAATTGTATTTTGTGTAATCAAAAGTTCTTAGTCTGATAGTAAATTTAAATTTAATAAATACGTTTAATAATTAAATCAAAATAAATCTGTAGAAAGTATTGTCTAAAAAGTGAAGTTAGGTTGCTTAGTTTTACCACTTGACATCATAGTCAGAAATCAACCCAAGTCAATAATCCTCCAGTTTTTCAGAAGAAAATCGTATATGCTTAATGACCTTTCAGGCAGTGTTTCAGCTGCTGTTCATCACGGGTCATGAAGCTCATGAATACAACAAGCGTGGGATCACTTATTCAATTTCTTATTCAGTGCTTGAGTTTATTAACCACAATAGTCATAATTGTGGCTTCAGGCAGCAGTGAGATGATGGACAGCACTGGGCAGATGGACCTGGTGAGTCTGGATGAGGGAAAGTACGTGTTTACGTAGCTGACTCACAACCGACGTGGCTACTTAGGATGTCAAAAAGAGAAAAAAAAATATTAAAATGAACAAACAGTCAAATAATGACATGGCCATTTAGATTTAGACTGGAAGCTCATTTGCAAGTAAAATAAGGGCAGAAACTAATGAATGTAGCTTTCAGAATGCATTTAGTACAAATGGTTTTGTTTTTTGAGAAATGCCAGGGGCCTTGTCATTTCTTTTTGTACCGAAATGATTTCCAAGTGTGGATCGTTATCAGAGATTGCTTCTTCCAAAACAGGCTGAAACAAAAAACCAACTGTAAAAGTGTGTAAACGGAGGCAAGCTGTTTTCGGCAGCTCTGTAGTGCTCACCTTTGCTGAAGTTCTACAACATAGGACATTAATTATTTCCTCCTTGCCATGTGCTGTCTTGATTGTGTGTAGTAAATCTCTTTGACAGTTACAGGTAAAGGCCCTGTTCCAAATGCCATCCTCGGCCCCTTCGGCCCTCGTCCCGGTCTACACTTGGCGTAATGTTGCAAAAACTGTTAGGTACTAGTCCACACTAATGCATTGAGCATCCATCTGAAGCATAAAATGATAAATGGGACACGCTTGTATACTTCACATACAGTGAAGAGGTCCACCACCCCCCCCTCTTTTTTTTTTCAAATAAGCCTGACAAGCCAACATTTAGAGTTTGTCTTGACACTTTTAGTTCCCGTTTGCTACCTCAAGATTTGAAATTCAAGCATTAATGGTTTAATTCTGAATGGTGCACAGCTCTGTTTTGAGGATGTCTAGTCCGTATCAGTCAGCTTTGAAGTCATGCATACCTACTGTATGTAGTATGCTAGTGTGAAATGAGCAGAAAAAAAGCAAAATTCACTCTTAGCAAATATACACGTATACAAAAAGGACAAACAATATTGATGATTGATCCTGCACTTCACAGATTGTCTGTTCAATACCATGTCCCTCCCCCAATACCTTGCAACTGTCTTATGTAAATGTTTATGACTGTGATTCCAAAATATAATGTTTCTATTGGAAATATTGGAAAAATATAAACAGGAAAGCAATGTTTCTGCTTTGTATTTGGTTCCTTTATTTGTTTATTAAACTGTGGTCTTCAGTTAATTTTGGATTTATCTCATCAGATGGTGGAGAACTTTGGGATATAAACAGATTGGCTGGTGTGACCTGAATGGACCCTTCACCTTCGTCGTGTGAGATGCAGTGATCTGGAGGGGACTATTGAGTGAGATGTCCAAAGTCCCCGTTACCTTGTGACATGTGAAGGTGTGATGTATATGATTGTGGGGCTTGTGTGGCCTTTTGTTTAAAGAACTGGCCTGAAACCAAAAGGCTGGATGTTCAAACAATGATCTACCACAAAGCCAATACCAGACTGCTACAGGGCTTTTCCCCCTGCAATAAAAGCACTAGGAGTTATTTTTGATATAAACACCGGCTACATGACTCAAACCTTTAGTCATCCTCAACCTGTTCAGATGGTCCCATTTTCTTTATTTCTTATTCAGTTTTGGTTAGGTAAGTTAGCTTCTCATCTGGTCTGCTTCCGTGTGGGTTATACTCTGTGCTGACCTGAAGTTGCCATCAAAGTCTCATTCATTGTGGGCTGCAGTATCTCTGCGGTGTACTAGTGTAATTATAAATGTGCTCAAAGCTTCAGTACCACATGTTCCTGCTTTTAGAAATATCAAATCACAGGCTTTATATGTCTCTATGGTGTCGTCCTGCATGACATTATAATAACTCTTTGCATTTTTGTCATCTGTTGCTAATTGAATTCAATTTTATAAATTGGTTCACCACTTTTAGCGCTGTCCATGAAAAAGGCTCATTTGTCCTTTATTCTCTGGCTACTTGATTCTTAACCACAACGTTTCCTTACTCCCTGTGATCTTAGTTCTGCTCCTTGGCAATAGGTGGCAGTAATGTCCTACATTTGAGCTCAGATGTGCGATGTTAGTATGGACTATACTACATGAGCACCGGAGACCCCGCTGTGAAATACATTCAGCGCATGTAGTGCCATCCGACCTCTCCCTCTCTACCTCTGCTGCTGTCTTCCTCTCTGAAAGGATTAATTGTGAACGCACAGACAGTTTCTTAAAGCTAATGATTAAAAAGAAACTCAGAGCTCTTCCAATTACGACCCTGCCAAGCATCCTTGAGATACTACAGCCCTAATTGGTCAGATCATTAAATCAGGAAGGAAAAAATGAGAGAAAAGGAGGAGAAATGAGGGAGATGGTCTACGTAGTCTTCGTGATACTGTGGTAAGAAAGAGAGAGAGAGAGTATCAAAAAGGGGAAAGGTATGCACTGTGAGATTGTTCCCATGGAGACAGCAGATTCTGGGATGCTTTGGGGAGGAAAAAAAAAAGTTTCATTTTTGTTGATTGCAATGAAATTGCACTAGGGTAACTGCAAATGTAGTGCGTTATAATCCAAAGTGTAATTACTGTACACCTGCTGGAAATCATAAGGATAGTAATGTTTTCAAATAATCTTTCTCTCAGACTTAGGGCAATTTACAGGAAAAATTGCTGATTAAAGCAAAAAAAAAAAAATTAGATGATCCAGTTAGATTATTCAAAACAATGTGAAAGGATGATGGATTCACAGCTTATTTTACTTCTGTAATATGACATATTTCCAAGTCAAATGAGAAAAGGTGTAGGGTGAGACCTGACTTTATCCATTGGGAATTGTTATGCAAGTTTAAAGCAGTACTAAATCCTGTAAAGCCAGAAATATGAAATAAGTAAAAAAAAAAAAATATATATATATATATATATATACATACAGTGTTGGGGTAATGCATTACAAGTAACGCGAGTTATGTAATCAGATTACTTTTTTAAGTAACTAGTAAAGTAACACATTGCTTTTTAATTTAGAAGGAAATATCTGAGTTACTTTTTCAAATAAGAAGCTCCAGTTACTTTGTTTCCATGTATTGAGTGACAGCTCTGGTGTTGCCATGGTGTCAGTATTCCTCAAAATGAATAAAAACAGTCCCACTCAATGCAATGCAAACTCAGAATATTATACAAACCTGCAATAATTAAATATGTTAAATAAGACAAATATCATTTGTCATTTATCATACAACATTATGTATTTAATCCCATTTTATTAACCAATGTCTTTGCTACTGACCTTCGATGATCCAATTTAACCATACTAATAATCAAAAATGACACATTTGTGTTTGATTTTAGTTATTGCTGAATAGTGTTGAACTTTCTTCTCCTGCGTCATATTCGTCATGCGATTTGTTTGCGCTGCACCCTCTACTGTACAGACGTGAATTTACATTTCCTTCAGCCTGAGGCGTATTCATTTAGCTTTTCTTATGAAAGGGCTTTTATGTTTGTAAAATAATAACTTTTTTATATTAAAAACAAACAAGCAAGCCCTACCCAGATTTAAAAAGTAACTGAAAAGTAACGTAATGCATTACTTTCCATAAAAAGTAACTAAGTAAAGCAACAATGGAGTGTCACGCCTCGTAATAGCCACTCTGCAAATTGTTAGTGATGCTGTCATCTAACAGTCTGTTTGTCACACTCAGAGACAGAAGCTTTCAGTTGAGGCTCTCACTGTCTCTGAGAGCAAACGCTCTATCAAATTCATTCGCTGCGTTAGACAGACGCCTAGAGTGAAATGCTGTCGTTGCGGAGCTGCCTGTATTGTCCGGCTGTTCCTCAGAGGGTTGCTTTGTGTCTGCGTGTGTTTGTCCTGATCTGCTGTTTCAGCCTGACCTCATGAATCCATTAGCGCACTTGTTCAGTTCTCCCGTCCCATTCGTTTCTCTAAAGACTTGCCGCTCAACAAGAAAACAACCTCATGTGAGTAGGAGGGAGGGGAAACCCGTGTAAAGAAATCCGTCCAGATGGGATAAGACACACACTTCACATTAAGTGCCGTGGATCTCTCGGTGTGCTCTGAGATATGAGGTGGCTCTCTGGCTTGTCATTCGAAGTGGAGCCGTTATCAGCAAGTGCGATATGAGTCGAGTGTTGCGATTGTGGTTTGTGTGTGGCTTGTAGTGTGTGTTACGGGTTATTAATAGGTGATGTGCGTTACGTTTACGGACGATGGGGCTCTCAATTTCCCTGTGCCCATCAGCGCTATTGATGAAGCCATTTGGCTGTTTTAGTTTCCCTCCTACATTCTTGCTGTTTGTGGCATGTGTGTAAAGCTCATCCTGTTGCACTTCATGGCCTGAATTCAAAAGGGAAAAATTGTGTATTTGCTCTAGAGTGTACTACCCAATCAGTGTCTGATACTACATATCAATGCCACACAAAACCTCTTTCTTAGAGAAGTGATTCTCATTTGGGCCATTTTGTAAAAATAAAAGATATTCAATCTTTTGTTGAATCTTTTTGAAATAATTATTGTATTTTATTTTATTTTCACAGTAAAAAGACATGTACTATGGCCTAAAGATGGGCGTTAAAAGTATAATTGCTGAGGTATGTACTGGAAAAAAAAAATATAGATTTGATTTGATGTGATGTGATGGTTATTTTAATTTTTTCACAGTAAAAAGACACATGTACCACAGCCTGAGGGTGGGCATTTTTAGAATTATACTGAAATTAGAATTGCTAAAGTATGTACTGATTAAAAAAAGACAAATAAATAAATACTTTTATTTTCACAGTAAAAAGATGTGTACCACAACTTGGTATAATTGCTAAAGTACTCTCTTTAATTGCTAAAGAGAGTATAATTGCTAAAGTATGTACTAATAAAACAGTTAGATATTTTTATTTTATTTTATTTTATTTTATTTTATTTGTTTTATATTATTTTCACAGTAAAAAGACGTGTACCACAACCTGAGAGAATAATTGCTAAAGTATGTACTAATAAAACTGTTAGATATTTTATTTTGTTTTGTTTTATTTTATTTTCATTTTATTTTTGAAAGGATGAGGACAGGGTGAAGGGCATAATTAGAGACCGAGGTGGTGGTGAAGCTGCCTTAAATCTCGAGTCAGATGCTATAGTATTGATGAAAGATTGTTGTGTCCTTTCTGTGGTGTGTGTGTGTTGTCTCCACAGAGCTGATGTTGGTGCCAGGCTCTATTGATCAGTCCTAACAGTTATCTCAGCCCTTTAAACTCGGCCCAGGACTACTGCAGCACAGAATTAAATGAAATAAATCCCTCAGAGACAACAGAATGGTGAGTGTGGAGCAGGGAGAGGAAAGGATGGAGTGAACAAGTGAATGAAAGTCTGTTTGATAAAGAGTTTTCAGGGCTGAGGGCTTGGATTTCAACATGTTGAAGATCTCAGAGCTTCATTGATCGAATGTCTTCCTCTCAGCCACACACACTGACCATCAAACCATCAAAGATCACACAATACACACCTATGGATCAGGCTTCCAGGAATCTGAAGAGTTACCGTACATGCTTACAAAAGCTCTTGAACAATATATTGTGACATTCTGTTTCAATAATTCTTTTGACAGAAATACTGCTGTTTCTCATACCAAAGCTTCAGTGTAATAAGCTGATTTGCTAAAAGAATATAATTTATTTGAAATAAGTATTTTGTAACATTATAAATGTATTTGTTATATCACTATTGATCAAATTAATGATGAGTCTTAATTGTTCCCATCCCAACATCAGTCTGATATATTTTTATCATTATGTGCTGCCAGTCGAGTCACCAGTGGTCACTGTATCTCATGAAGCCTCACATCGCCAACTCTCATCAAAGAATGAATCACTTCCGATTGCTTTGACATAGCAAGATGCTGTCAGTGTGTATATTTTGATTTAAATAATCTAATTCAGCATCATTATGTCACTAGAAACAGACTTTGATGTCACTGTGTTGTTGTTTAATATATATGGCAAACAAAAAGCATACCAGTCAGTTCACACATGATTTATATAAAAAGTAATTTTAGATGGTCAGGGAAAATAAAGTGGCTGGAGTAGCTTTGCAGTGTGACAAAAATAGAATATATGTCAACTAAATATGCATCACTTCCAGTGTTCAGCGATTTGTTGATCATTGTATTGTGGTGATCAACTTGACAGCAGGTTTATGGAGCTGGTGCTGAGCCATTTGTTGACCTAGAAACACACATAATAGAGCCAGACTGAGCACTGGCAGTAGTACCCATGCTTTCACCGGTTCGGTGGAAAAGGGGTATGTGAAGCCAACTATGTCCAGTATAGAATTCTTGAGGCATCGGATGGGTAAAACAGTTTTGGCAGCCATGATTTGAGTAAGGGTCAGGCTCTCTGATTGGCTTCTGTGATCTTATGGCTGCTGTGTAATTGGCAGAGGTAGACTTATGGGCACACTGGCGTGACACTAATATGTCTTGTGGCTGTTGACATTCCTGTCCGAATTTACTGCTGTCATCAAGGTCACACTCCCTCTCTCTCTCTCTCTGTCTGTATAAGCCTTAGTA